GGAGCCCGATGCGGGGCTCAATCCCAGGACCCTGGGATCATGACCTGAGCCGAAGGCAGACGCTTAATGACTGAGCCACCCAGGCGCCCCAAGAGACTAACTTTCTTAACAGCCTACTTTTACCTTAACCCTGGGCAGTCTGAGTTCCTCCCTCTATTATTCATTTATTCCATAAATATTCATGGAGCACATCCGATGTGTTACATTCTAGGCACTGGGAATACATTAGTGAAGAATTCCTAGCAGTGCCTTGCTTTCAAATACCAGTTTTTTTTGTTGATCCCAGAAATGCTGAATTAATTCTTATTCCTCTTGATTCCACTGCAACACTATTCACCTTCTGAAATAATCTCATTTCTTGACTTCTAGAGTTCTGAACTCTCTGGTTCTCTGGAACCTTTTCTTTCCCTGTTTTTGTTTCATTTTCCCAGACTTTAATTAATTAATTAATTAATTAATTAATTAATTATAGATTTTACTTATTTATTTGATAGAGGAGACACAGCGAGAGAGGGAACAGAAGCAGGGGGAGCGGGAGAGGGAGAAGCAGGCTTCCCGCTGAGCAGGGAGCCTGATGTGGGGCTCGATCCCAGGACCCTGGGATCATGACCTGAGGTGAAGGCAGATGCTTAACTACTGAGCCACCCAGGTGCGCCTTTCTCCCAGACTTTAAATCTTGGGCTTTTCTCATAGCATATTTGACTTTTCCTCTAGATACATATATTTCTTGTGGCTTCAATGATCATATCTATGCAGATGATTTCTAAGTCACCTCTCTAGCCTTAGCTCCTTTAAAAAAACAAACACCACTTTACAGGTATCAAGTTCCTCAACTTAAATCCCCATTATGGAGTATTTCATCCCCCATAGCCTGGCTTTCTAGGGTCTCTGCAATCTGTTTTCTACTTATCTTTACCTTTTATCTCCTATGTTCCTCCTACACAACCTTGCATAGAAGCCATAAAAGTCATTGTTTTCCACCCAAAACTGCTGCTCACTCTCACCGCTGTACCTTTGCACATGCTGTTCCCCCGTCTGGAATATTCCTATCCATCTTCTTTTTCTGTTATTTTTTAAAAATTGTGAAATATTCTACATACAGAGGAGTGTATAAACATAGGTATATTAAAAATAATGTGGGGCGCCTGGGTGGCTCAGATGGTTAGGCGTCTGCCTTCGGCTCAGGTCATGATCCCAGGGTCCTGGGATCGAGTCCTGCATCGGGCTTCCCGCTCCTTGGGAGCCTGCTTCTCCCTCTGTTTCTCTCTGTCTCTCATGAATAAATAAATAAAATCTTTAAAAAAAAAAAAGAAAAAAAAATAATGTGAATTCCTGTGCACTCATCACTCAGGTTAAAAGAGTTTTTCTAGTACCTTATAAAGCTCCCGTGTTTCTCTGTTTTTGTTCCTCTCTTTCCTTTCTACAGTTAACCTCCATGTGGTTTTTGTGTTAACAATCCCTTGCTTTGGGATGCCTGGATGGCTTAGTCAGTTAAGTGTCTGCCTTTGGCTCAGGTCATGATCCCGGGGTCCTGGGATGGAGTCCCCCATAGGGCTCCCTGCTCAGCAGGAAGTCTGCTTCTCCCTCTGCCTGCCTCTCCCCCTGCGTGTGCTCTCTCTCTTTCTCTCTCTGACAAATAAAGTCTTTAAAAAAATCCCTTGCTTTTTCTTTTCCTATTATTCTGTTATTTATGTATGCAAAGGAGGCAAAAGCAAAAAAAAATGTGCATTGTTTAAAGATGAATACTACTGGATGTCCACCTTTCACTTAACACTTTACATGTCTAGACTAGAATCCTTCATCTCCTGCCCTCCCTGCCACCTGGGTTTTCCTTCAAGGAGGGATTTGCTGCCCAGCCCTGGGGAGTGCCATCAGCAGATAGCCCTGGGGTCACACCCTGACCAGAGCAGCCCACATGTGCTGGATGACTGAGTGAAGGGAAGTATAAGTGCCCAGCTATTTCCAGCCCACATGGGGCAATCTCATGGAACAAAACTCCTTCCAGGGCTCAGTAGGGTGGGGATTTGTTGGGTCTGCATCACAGTTAGACTTTGTCTTTTGCCCAATCCTGCCTCCTCTGACTTCTCCTTAAAGGTGTTAATCTCTCATGATCATCTTACACCCTAACCTCCACCTCGGTGCTTGCTTTTGGGAAACCTGGACTGCTATACTGCCCCACTTTTCCTCCTTTTAGCAAAATTATTTTTATTAATTTTGCATCTAAATCCATGGGTAATGGGGGCGCGTGGGTGTCTCCTTCGGTTAAGTGTCTGACTCTTGATTTTGGCTCAGGTTGTGATCTTGGGGCTGTGGGATCGAGCCCCAGGAGGGTCCCCTCTCAGTGGGGAGTCTGCTTGGGATTCTCTCTCTTCCTCTCTGTCTGCTTCTGCCTCCCACCTCCACTCGTGAGTGTGCTCTCTTTCTCTCAAATAAATAAATAAATCTTTAAAAAAAATAAATCCGTGGGTGATATTGCCCTGAAGTTTTTTTTTCTCATACTGCCCTGGTCAAATTTTAGTATGGACATTATGTTAGTCTCAAAAAATAAGGTAGGGGAGAAAATTTTCTCTCTTTGCAATATCAGTAGAATTATAGTTATTGGTTCCTTGAGTTTTTGGTAGATTTTGCCATAAAAAGAATTGTGTTTACCGGAAGATTTTTAAAATTCAACTTAAATTTTTTAATCCCTTTAATGGAGTTATAAGATTTTTTAGGTTTCCTATCTTATTAATTGTGGTCCCCACAGAAAACAGCACACTCAAGTAGAGTAATAGAGGGAAGATTCACAATGAGTAGACTATTTAGAAAGATGAGGATGGGATTAAGGGAAACCAGTAAGGCATGGTGAAGCATCCCAGGGTGGTTGCTGGGATCTGTAAAGGAAGTTACAGATGTAGGAGAGGGCTGCCCTATTAAAGAGAAATGCAGACATTGCCAGCCCGGGGCCGGGAGGGGACTGTCAGGCGATTGATATCCTTATCTTTCACTCTCTCTTCCTGGCCTCTTGTTTCTTGTTAGTGCCTCTCATTGTTCAGAAGCAGCCAACAGTGAGAGCAGGGGAGCCCAGTTTATGCAGTCCTTAAAGGCCTTCTCCAGAGGTGTGGAGCAGGGTGGAGAAGGACAGTGGCTCTAGAATGTCCAGCACAGTGAGTTTTGGTAAGTTATGTTTTACTAGATATTTGCTGATATTATCAAAATTTTGGAATATGTTGGCATAAAGTTGTTTATTATAGTCTCTTATTATGCTTTCAATGTCTGTAACATCTCTACTTATATTCCTCTTTTGTTCTTGATATTAGTTCTATGTGCCATCTCTCTGTTTTTTGCTTGATTCATTTCATCAGAGGCTTATCAATTTTACTTGTCTTTTCAAAGAACAGCCTTTGTTTCTGTAGATTCTCTATAGTTTATTTTTGTTTTCTCTTTCATTAATAGAAAATGTTTTTGTTTTGTGGCTGTGTTTACTACTTTTAAAGATGGACACTTAGCTCATTAAGTTTTAGATTAATTTTAAGCCTTTTTTCTTTCTCTAATATAAGCAGTTAGACTATATATTTTCCTCTACTGCTTTCACTTCATCCTATTGGATTTGGTATAAAATGTTTTCTTATTTCCATTGTGATTTCATCTTTGACCCAAGAGTTATTTAAAAGTGTGTTACCTAATTTCCAAACATACGAAGATTTTATAGTTACATTTTGGTTAGTGGTTATACCTTAATTGCTTTGGGCCTGGAATATGGTTTGCATGGTAGCAATCTTTTGAAATTTGTTAAGATTTGCTCTATAATACAGCATATGGTAAAGTTTTGTAATGCTCTATAAATACTTGAGTGTTCTGCATATATTGGGGACAGGGATCTATATAATTCAATTTGATTAATCATGTTTTTAAACCTTCATTATGCCGACTGCTATTTTGTTGGTTTGTCCTATTGTTCACCGAAGGAAATGTTTCACTCTCCCACTATTTCCACAAGTATACAGAATGTCCTTATTTCTTTTGTAGTTCTGCCAGTTTTTTTCTTTTTATGTTTTTAGGCATTTTGAAGTCCCTGTGGGCTAGTAGAAGCAACAATTTATTGCCATATAATACTTAGTACCTTTGTTTTCCTTTCACTACAAAACTCTATTTAAATTCTTTTCCATTTCTCTCTTGAAGGGGCTTCCTGACATCAGAGGAGAACCCGTGGTGAAATTTTAAACAGAGTCAGTCAAAACAAGGGAAGTTGGTGGGAGATGAAGTGAGATTAGGACCAATAGATTTAGAGCCTTTGTCAAGTCTACTTAAGTGCCACTTAAATTTGGTTTGACCAAATGAATAGAGGTGGTAGTTAATTTTCAAAATTTGTACATTCTTTTAGAAATCTATTTTTTAAAGATTTATTTATTTGAGAGAGAAAGAGAGAGAGCGTGTGTGAGCAGGGGGAGGAGCAGAGGGAGAGGGAAAGCAGACTCTCTGATGAGTGCCGAGCCAGACGCAGGGCTCGATCTCATGCCCCTGAGATCATGAGCTGAACTGAAAACAAGAGTCTGACACTTAACTGACTGAGCCACTCAGGTGCTCCTATATTCTTTTAAATAGACAGTATGGTGGCTTTGTATTGTGTCAGCTTGTCTAGATTGAGCTACATGCTCTAGAATTCCTTTTTCTCTGTTTCCAACTAGAATACATTGTAAAGGATATTCTTTTGCAATATTTCTAGGTTAAAGTGAAACAGCGGCCATATTTATAGCTCATACACGTTGTCATTTCTCTGCTGGCTTATCTCATTGGGGTGAGGCAGTGGCCGGGACCACAACTGCCACACCCTCTTTGGGATCCTTCTTGAGCTTCTCTGACTTGTGGGCCCGCTGTGTGTTTAGCTCTGTGGTGGAGGGCCCTGGCTTCTGCAGTACATCTATACCATTGAGGTTAGAGGCAATGAACACTGACACTAATTTTCATCTGTCCTTGAGGACTTTAGCTTTTGCTTGTGCGTTCCAGTTTATTTTTGTTTTCCTTCAATTTACATCCATCTTCCCTTCCTGGGGGCCTGTCCTGTGGACGTCAAGCTACGTCATCAGATACAAAGACAATAGACTTACAGAAACTGCTGAATCAGCTTCCATGATTATGCAAGGTCAAATCACTAAGAAATACCTTAGTATATTATCTCCTAGTGGTCTGCTTCTCTAATGCAACCTTGATGGATATGGCCAGTAATCCCAATTTGTTATTTTTTTCCTGTTCTTTCAGGCAAATTTGGAGCCCAAAGTGACTGAAACCATGGGGGTAGGAAATAATTCGGTGGTGTCTGAGATTGTGTTGGTGGGACTCACCAGTTCTTTGGAGATGCAGCTTGTCCTATTTCTAGTTTTCTCTGTGTTCTATATAACAAGTATTTTAGGAAACCTCCTCATTGTGCTCACAGTGATCTCTGACTCCCATTTACACTCCCCCATGTACTTCCTGCTGGCCAACCTCTCCTTTATTGACATGTGGGTTTCCTCCATTGCAGCTCCCAAGATGATTTCTGATCTTTTCAAGGAGAGAAAAGTAATCTCTTTCCAAGGCTGCATTGCTCAGATGTTCTTCATTCATGTTATTGGAGGAACTGAGATGGTTCTGCTCATTGCCATGGCCCTTGACCGTTATGTTGCTATATGCAGGCCTCTCCACTACCTGACCATCATGAACTTCAGAACTTGTATTTTACTCTTGGTGGTAGCCTGGACCATTGGAATCATCCACTCATTGATCCAACTTGTATTTGTTGTAAACCTGCCATTTTGTGGCCCCAATGAAGTGGACAGCTTTTACTGTGATCTTCCTCGATTTATTAGGCTTGCCTGCACAGACACTTACAGATTGGAGCTCATGGTCACTGCCAATAGTGGTTTCATCTCTCTGGGAACTTTTTTCATTTTGGTTATTTCCTATATCTTCATCTTGGTCATTGTTTGGCAACGTTCTTCAGGTGGCTTGTCCAAGGCTCTCTCTACTCTGTCAGCTCACATCACAGTTGTGGTCTTATTTTTTGGTCCATGTATTTTCGTATACTCATGGCCATTTCCCACAGTGCCGGTGGATAAGTTCCTTGCCATTTTTGATGTAATTATTACCCCATTTCTGAACCCTGCCATCTACACTTTTAGGAATAAAGAGATGAAAGTGGCAATGAGGAGGATATTCAGTCAGGTGTTGAGCTCCAGGAAGCTGTTTTAAGTGATTTTGATATCAAGAAAGACAAGCATCTCTAACATTCCCTGACTGTGCTGCAGACATGAATCCAGCAAAACACAGCACCATGGATGCTCTACTTACTAGTTTAATTATTAATTCCAGGATTTTCTTAATGAGTTTTCTGCCCATAGTCAAGGAGGATATGGTATTCTTTCTTATGTAATGTGATGGAATAAGAAGTATTAATATACAATTGTTTCCACATTTTCTCACTTCTCCTTGATGAGGATTTTGGACAGGACTTTCTCTTTTCCTACTCTGTGTTCTGAGGAGAATCCTCCCTTGTCAGATTTATTTTTGGGGTTTGTAATGCAGAATCTGAAGAAAAGTGCTTTGGAAATATTAAAAAATTGCCATTATTAGAGATAGTGTTTTTTTTCTTTAGAGGTTCTACATTGAGATGTGTGGGGGTAGCCGTAGTGTGTGAAAAAATAGATAAAAGACAAAAAGAGGATTTTAAAAAGATATTGTTGCCTATCTCTTACCTTTCAATATATAATTGCCCTTTAGTAAAAAAGCAAAGAGCTAAAGTTATTTTGAATTATCTTTGTGTGTGCATGTGTGTGTGTGTGTGTGTGTGTTTTATCACAACATCGACCTGAAATTGGATCACTGGGTTATAGCTTCTTAAGCTTTTCAACTAATGCATGAATTAAGCCTTATAATTACTCCAGTTCTTTCAAAAGCTGTATTCCTGTACTGTCACGGGATTTAAATAATGGGGGCCAGGTAATGGACAAAAACAATGACCTACTTAATAATTCTGTCCTAGGTAGTGCTAATTCTTGCCCTAATTATATTGAAATCAGCAATGATACCTCAGAGTTAGGTAAACTCTTTCCTTTTACAGTGCCATGGGTTACAAGTACACACTCTTGAGCCAGACCGCCTGACTTAAAAACTTAGCTTTGCATTTTACTAACACACAAATTGCTTAACCTAATATGCCTAAATTCTGTCATCTGTAAAATAAAGGTAAGTTGAACCATCTGAAATTTCTGATATTTGTTTTTGACTTAATTGATATGGTAAAGTTACCTTCCTCATAAGATTATAAGGATTGACCAAGTTAATATTTGTAAGGTACTTAAACAATTCTTGATCTATAGTGTTATGTAAGTGCCTGCTCAGTAAAATGAAATAAAACTTTAAAACCACTTCTCAGTTTTGATGACCTTTTTCCCTGCTGTCTACAAATTATTTCCTTTCCTTTCTAAGTCCATTCATCAGATCTTGATCAAGAACATACACTTTTCCTAACAGGACTGAAGTATTTTATTTATTTATTTATTTATATATTTGAGAGAGAGAGAGCGAGGGAGAGAGAGAGAGAGAAGAGGGAGCCTGACGTGGGGCTCGATCCCAGGACCCTGAGATCATGACCTGAGCCAAAGGCAGATGCTTAACCGCCTGAGCCACCCAGGCATCCCAGGACTAAAATATTTTAAATCATAAAATTCCTTGAATATAGAGACTTCAAAATGCCGCAGTTCAATTTACTTTCTACACTTTCTTTTATATTCAAATGCCTTCTTATGGGCTATGCATTAGTTCTAAGAAGCTTGTTTTCGTTATCTATGGTGCTTTTTAATGTGCTGGAAGACGTTACCAAGCTGAGTAAGTTATAAAAAGTTCATAAATAGAAATTCAATTAATCAAAAAAGGTATTGAATACTTACTATGTTCTAAATCCTGTGCTAGGAACACAGGATTTAGAACACAGTAGAAAATTGTGTTAGAAGTATATAACCTGGGGTGCCTGAGTGGCTCAGTCGGTTAAGTGTTCCATTTGTGATTTTGACTCAGGTCATGATCTTGTGGGTCCTGGGACTGAGCCAGGTGTTGGGCTCTGCATGCAGCGTGGCGTCTGCTTGAGATTCTCTCCCTCTGCCCCTCCCCCCACGAGTGCATGCGTGCTCTCTCTCTCTAAAATAAGTAAATAAATCTTAAAAAATAAAGAAATATACAGCTTAATTGTAGGAAGGGGCGATCCATCTCTGAGGCAAAAAAATCACTGCAAGAAAGTAAGGGGTGTGATAGGGAAGGCAGACTGAACAAAAGCGTTTGAGTAGAAGGAGTTCATGAATTTGTGAATGTCAACCCCAAGAAACTTCCTATCTAAAGAAGTTCCCTCTTGCCTTTCTACTCCAGTCATTCTCTATCATATGCTTTGTTGAATGTCCCCATTTGAATGATTGTTTTGTTTTATTAATTATTTTTTGTTTCTGTCCACATGGAAAGAAGATCCATAACGCAGAAAATATGATTTTTTGATCTTTGTACCTAGACAGATGCTGGACCTACAGTGGGAAGTCAATAATTATTTGTTTTTGTCCAAAGAGCAAATGGTAAATAAAAGCTGAGAGGGAGAGAAACAACTCTTTCATTATGAATCACAAGGAATGCAAAGAAATAGGAAAAAGCTAGTAGATTTAGCACAAATGTTAAACTTATTCAGGAAAACAAACTTGTGCAATCTAAAGTACATTTGTAGGTTACATATAAATAAGCACAAGGAAGAAAAGAAAAAAAAATCACCGAAAATCACTTCACTCAAATATAATTGTCAAAATATTGTTATATTTCTTTTAGGATTTTCCTTTATGCATTTGAAAAATCGTACAAAATAGGACCACATTGTTCTACAATCCATTTAACAATATGATATGTAAGTCATTTAACAATACTGATATTGGTCATTTAACAATATAATGTGTAAGTCTTTTTATGCTAATAAATCTACTTCTACCATGTAGTTCTCGGTCACTATATAGTAATCTATTGCACGGATATAGTCATATTGCTTTAGTCAATACTTCACTGCTGACATTTAAGTTATTACCAATTTTTAGTTTTCAACAACTCTGCTATGAAAGATATTGATGTACCTTTTTATATATACATGCCTTTGGTTACTTCCTCATAATAACAATAGAAATGAAATTGCTGTGCCAAAATGTATTTGTAAGGCTTGATTAAATATGGCAAAAGTGCCTTCTAAAATGATTGGGTTTGGGGC